TACAAACTTGTAGTAACTAATATTGTATTTATATTAGAAAAATAGATATATGATTTTACAAAAAATTAAAATTAAAATTTTTAAACTAAAAGTATTTATTTGTGATTAAAAATAAATTTTTAAATATTAAATCTAAAAAATACTAATCAATTCTTATACAAATTTAAAAAGAGTAATGATCCTATGAGACCCTCCCATACCCATGTGTGTAGGACCTTATAGGATCATCATTAAAATTAACACAGATATATAGAAAAATTATCACAAGTATAATACTTGACTTTCTAGATATCTGTGTCAAATTTAATGACGATCTTTTGGAGTTCTTTCCACGTGGGTGTAAGAGAGTCTCTTAGTATTATTACTCAATTAAAAAACCAAAAGAGTATAGTATTTATTGGGCATGACACAGCAAAAGCAACAATAATTACTTTGGGGTTTTTACAAAAATGACTAACATCTTTAAGAAAAAGGCAATTGAGTATTTGAGTATCTAATAAAATAATGAAGTTTCTATAAGGCTTAGGATTTATGAAAACAAAATAAAGCCTCACCTCATATCCTCAATCCAAAAAATACTTTCGGTATCGAAAATCTCGATGATGACTCTAAAATTAATATCCAATACTAAAAATAAAATTTGAAACTCAAAAAATATGAAATTTTTATTCATAAGTAAAATTATCGTTTATAAAAAAGTATACAAAAGATCACACATTTTCCTTTATTTGTTTGGCACATCGGCGACCAAATAAATAAGTGTATATATCTACCTAACTTTACCATATGGACCTATAAGACTTTACAAGGTCATATATATGTATAAGACTTTACAATCTCATATATATTATTACAAAATGTCAATAGGTTATGTATCTCCTCATGTACGTGATCCCTCAATTAAAGATCCTACCTATAATTTTCAAAAAACTAAAATTTCAATTCTTTGCTTTAAAATATCCATCGAATGATAAATCTTAAATTTTAGACTTATGAAATGCTATTAAGTAAGAAAAAAATTTATTTCTCGAATTAAAAGATTAAAATCATGTTTTTTGACACAAGTTGAGCATGTAGCACAACATAACGCCACCATATAAATGACACATTGTACTAATGTAAAATTATTAAAATCAAACCTACAATGTAGCCTAGCAAAACCACAATAAAGAACTTCCATTATTTTGCTTCTAGGCAATCCAACACACATCCCCATTTAAACTATGTAATAAAAATATATGAAGTTTAAATAAATTTTACATTTATTTTAACTTTTTTAAAATAAATTTTACACAAGTTGAGTGGGTAACATAACATAGTGCTACTACAAAAATGATGAATTACACTGTTCTAAACAAAAGTTTACTTAAGATTACTACAAAACTCAGTATCAATCTTTGATGAACATCCAAATTACTGTAAAATAAAATTCTTTTAAAACAATAGAATGTATATTTTAGTATAAAATTATTGTATTGTAAATTATATTCATATAAGATTATTAATTTATCGTTTTTCATATATTATAGTTGAATATATCTATAACATAAAAATATTTAAATTGTTATTTATATGTTATAAATTATAACTTATATAACCAAATATTATATAAGTTATAAAAAAAAGGAGAGGCCAAATATTTGGGGCTTGAGGACTGAAAGCGGAAAAAAGGAGTTGTTTTTTTTGGCGAAGAAAGAAAGGCTAGATATCTTACTTATACAAGAAAGCAAACTTCCAAGCACTGAGATCAAGTATGTCCACTTTATTTGGGGATGAGGTTCTTGTCTTTTTGCTGAGATAGATGCTATAGATTTTGATGGGGGGTTATGGTGTATATGGGATGCTTCTGTCTTTAATGTTGTGAATGATTTTGATGGGGGGTTTATGGTGTATATGGGATGCTTCTGTCTTTAATGTTGTGAATGTTCTTTTGAGGGACATAATGGTTGTTTTAATTCTGGAGGGGCTATTTTGTTCATTTCAATAGCTTTTAGTTAATGTGTATGGCCCTACTGATATCTCTCAAATAGCTGGTTTTATCTCTTCTCTTTTTGTCCTGATAAATTCTTCGTGGTTTTCCTGTATGTGACGGGGGTGATTTCAATTTTATTAGATGGTCTGATGAAACCACCTCAAATTCTCCTATTATTTTTTCTATGCGTTTATTTAATTCCTTTATTCAGCAACATGAATTTCTTGAACTTCCTTTGAATGGGGCTGAGTTTACTTGGACAAACCATTGTATCCAAAATCTCATTATGAGTAAGTAGGATAGATTTATGGTGTCAAATTATTGGGATTTTTTTTTTCTTTTTGCAAAATCTAATAT